ATCATGATCGTTGGTGGTCCAATCATCCTCTTCCTCGACCCTCTCTTTTTCTCTCTCTTCTCTTCTAACTTTTCTACACGTTACGCGCTTAAAAACTACGCTTTCATAATAATTAACATTTTTTCTTTTCTCGTAAATTTACAAGACTATTACAATGCGTTCGATGTTAATACACCCACTTTGTTTAACCTTCTCTTAAAGTTTGAAGCTCCTTTCCTTATCCCGTCGTATCGTTGTATTTTCAAAAGAGAATAACGATTAATTTCTAGGGAATTTCACGGTATCGGTGTAAATAAGGTATCAAAGTACCTACTTGGAATGTTTCGCATTCGGCCGACAATTATTAGCTTTAAGAGAAGAAGTACGGGGTTTGCTACTTTCAAGCACGAAATTCCTTCTAATTTAATATCCCTGGCCGATAAATCATTCGGAGGTTTCTAATTTGGTAGGAGGCCCTTTGGCCCAAACCAGAATTGGCCCTTTGTCGGAGCACCGGCCCAAGTGCGAAGAATCCCATTAAACGCCATAAAGAAAGAATTTCTTTTTTCTTTCCTTCCTTCTCTGCCAACCATCTCTTCACCTTACTTTCCTCTTCGATAGTTCTGCTAAGGTTATTCCATATTAATTATCTTGCGCATCGATCGCCCATTACAGAAACGATCTAACCTTGTTACACTTTTTCCTTTCTTCTCTCTCCTCTTTTCCTTTTTTTTCAATGCATTTTCGATTTAGTTTCCAATTTATTTTCTATTCGTGCATCTGGTGTATCGATATATATTTAAAAAAGAAAGAAATCTTTCTTCTCTTTGTACGAGATCTATTTCTGTTGGACAAAGAAAGAAAAAAGAATTAAGTTATTAATTATTTAATAAACGATTATAAACGAGATAGAGAGATAATGTTTTAAGGAAATAATTTAAATGAAAAATATTTTTTATCACATTAAAATGAGTTTTTAAAGGAAATAAAGCGAGGGAATTTGAAAAATCTAACAATTTTTTTTCAGATATATACAATAATTTATTTAACCACGAAGCAATGTTTACATTTACGGGCATCTTCGTGAGAGTACGATCGAGTACATTAATTATATTACGCTTGTAGATCATTTACGAGTCGTTCACACAATGGATGAACTTCCTTTCAATGGATTCGCACGTGATCCCGTTAAAATAACGAAATTTACGTTTCACAATTCTGTAAGTAACTTTTGTTCTCTAACAAAGAACGATCGAAATCCGTATTCCGATTTAAAGAAAGCAAAAAGCAAGAATGAAAGAAAGAAAAGGATTTGTTGTGTAATTCTTAGTTATTAATTATCTACAATTTCAATATTTTTCTTATACGTATACACATAATTTTCAATCTGTTATTATCTGTTATTAATTGTAACAAAGTATTTAATTTTTTTTATATAAAATTTGTTGATCTCGTTAATTAAATTGTGCAAATCGAGAATAAGCTGAATATATAAACTTTAAAAAAAAAAAAAAAAGCATATAAAATCTGTTTCAATCGAAAAAATTTACATTAAATTTAGTGGAAAATCGATTTAAACTATTTACAAATGAAAAATAAATTTTTCTCTTTTCGAAAAACAAACGTGCAATTATTTTTTTAAATTAAAGAGCACGAATATTTTTCTGCAACTGTGTGACTCGAATCGAAAAATTAAGATATTTACCTTTAACTTTATTGACTCTAATTCGATTTCCTCTTCAAACGTGACATTCTTTTAACACGGTATATAATAGTCATTGAAAATTATGGATCAAAATTTGTAATATATATATAGTTTCAAAATTTTTTCTAAATTTTTCTACACATTTATTTAATAGAACTCTTTCTAAATCCCCAACTAATATAACACGTATAAATAAAACTCGATAAATATAAATTTTATTTCACATATCGAAGAGGAAACGTTATATCGATAATGTGGGAGGACTTTACGTTAACTAGATTAGACACGCAATTATGCATAATGGACGACAGAGCGTGACTATTACGCCGCATTTACACCTAACGAATAAACGCAAATAAGCACGAATAAACTTGAACAAACAAATGAGTATATCACTATTCCAAACACAAATAATCGGAAAATACATTATAATTTATCATCTATTATTGATTCTAAATTGTTACTTAATATCATTCAATCTTTTTATAGCAATGTAAATTCGCATCAATAAAGTTTCACGTGAAGTTCAATGCGACGCAATGCGCAAGAAACAAGAGACTTTTGCGCATCCCACGCTACTTCGCATAACTGCTGTCACGTTTGTTTAAATAGTACTTGAAAGTTTGTTGAAATCAGAATTTGAAATCGAATATCAATAAAGAAAATCATAAATGTGAAGCGAATTATTGACTGTTCTTATGCTTGTTTGCTCGCTTGATGGAAGGTATGTTCATGTTTATTGATTCGTTGGTGCTTATTCGTGAGATGTAGTGTTGGTTTTAGTTAGTAAATAAGAGCTACAAACTTGCCGATTCTCACGCATTCAACGTTCCTCCTTTAATCATATTGAAGAATTCTTCCGTTACTCGAAGGTAAATAAGCAATTTCCAGAATAGGAGATTCGATCAAATAGTATTAAAAATTTCATTCTTTTCAAAAAAATTAACATTGATACATTCATTTTATAGGCGTTAAGATATAGGTTAATAAGTTAATAGGTTAGGCAGAAAATAATCAATTTTAAATCGATTTATATTAATTTGAAATTATTCAACAAAATTTTTTTTCCATTAATTTCAGGATAATCTAAAAATTTACAACTAACGATATTATGAAACAAAATTGTTAAATTCATTACAATTAAATATAAATTAATTTGGTATTTCTTACATTAGTATCATCTGATCAGTTCTCGTATAATATACGTATCTAATTCTAGAAAATTTTTCTGATTATTTTAAAAATTATATTTAACTTAATATTTGTAATCACTGCAAGTATATAGTTAAACTCAACATTTATCGTTAGTCAAATATCGTGAGTCAAATATTTTCAAATATCATCAGGTATAGCAGTTTTTCGTATTTTCGCAGTTTCTCGAGTATTTTTCTAATTTGTAATATTTTCACTCGAGCAACTATATAAGATTGATATATTTTTCAATGTTCTTTAGATACATTTTCTAAATATTCTGCATTATGTTATAGCATATTCCTTCTTTTATCCTGTAAATAATATTTTGTGTTTTTGTAAAATATTTTATTGTATGTTTGGACTTACTACTTTAGTAATATATTTTTTTATTTTTTTCTTTGTTTTTCAAGTAATTTTAAATGACTTCGAGAACTTTATAGGTGCCTTGTTAATTATCCTTTTTTTTTTCTTTTTTTTTTTTTTTTTTTTTAATAAATCTCATACTCCTTGTGCTTAAGTAAGTTTCTTCGTTGTAAAACGAATATAAAATGTTACAATGATACACAGGCAAAAATGTCGTTGCTTGTTAAATGCATATACGTTGTTAAACATTAAATATATTATTATGCTCGATTTATCATTATCTATAAGGTGTTCGAGAATTATATATCAAATTATACAATATATCTTTGATTATTAAGTTTTTAATTTAATGCTGGTACATTATAAGAAAAATTTAAGAAAACCAAAATTTACATATCTATAAGATTGTCATTTTGTTGTGCGATGCATAACGGATTACCAATCTATGGAAGAATTATAATATATATAGATAATAGTTTTATTTCTTTATTCTATACAAATTTTTATTTTTATTTTATCATTCAATCTGTCAAATAATTTTCGAACACCGTATTTCATTTCTTTGCATCATTAATAAATTTTATCATTTCCTTTAATTACGTTTAGTATTATTATATTTATTTTTCTCAAGATATTTCATCCTAAAAAAAAAAACTTAGTTAAGTTCCATCGAAAGGAAAAAGAGAAGACTTACCATTAGCAGTGCCGTCAGTTAAATTTTGCACTGATTATTTTATGACTCGTAAACAAATTTTTATAAATAAAAAAAATGAAATTTGAAATATATTTTAACATATTGATATAATTTAAATATTAAAAATCTCAGTAAAAAAAAAACTATATCGACTCTAATCTTTTCTAATTTTTAATTAGAAACATTTTTTTAAGCAATGATCCAGTATCCGTACAAATTTATTGAGTATAAATTTATAACTTTCAAAATTTTCACATACTTCTTTAGAAAGTAACTCTTACTCTGCTTATTCAATTAGTTTATCCATTGTTTCTAATTGACCAGTCAACCAGTTGAATATTAATAATCCATAACAAGAATTTTAAGATAAGTTATGTGGATTAAGAATTTTTATAAAGGTTTACATATATGTAAGTATATACATATACCTACAAACGTTTAATTCTAATAAAATATCGTATTAGCTTGATCACTATGACCATTTGTCCAATTTATTTTGCACAAAAGTGATTTAAATAACATGTATAATCACCTACGATTAAATACCATCATTCTTATACTCTTCCTAAATTTCAGACTTAGAAACATGCCATACAAACTGTATTACACCAATAATCTACAGAACCGTTGCCACGATATCTCATTTTACTTGAACAAACTCTATTTAAAAAAAAATCTAATTGAAAAATTTATCAAATTCTTTCTTCGAATGGAAACAGCAAACTAATCAGAATTATACGTATTACTTTATAAGTAATCGAAATAATACCTCAGGATATCTATTCAATCAAGTTTAAAAGAGGAACTTCCTGTAATCATTTCCTCGATATTTCCTCAATTCCAAAAGCAAAACCTCTTGAAACATTTCGATTCATAGTTTCACACCACCAGAAAAGTCTTCCCTTCCTTTTCACGCTCGAAAAAAAATCTTCTCGAGAACACGAGAGAGAGATAGAAAGAGAGAGAAAGAAAGAGAAAGAGAAGCGCACAAACAGGATCCGTTAATTTCATTCATCACCAGAATCTGTGTATCCACTAGCGCCTCGTCTGAACGTCGATCGTCGCGCCACCAGCGTTCCAGTTCGCTTCAAATTATCCACTAGACACTAGTCGAATCTAGTAAATTCAGGTGGCAGTCTCGTACGGGACCTTACTCGTGGGCAGGCCGAACGAGAACCCGGCGTAAAGCGGTCTAGGTACCAAAAGGTGGCCCGAAGATCTCTTCTCGTCCTCGGAGTTACTCGAAATCTGTTCATCGTCCGGCGCGATGATATTCTCGATGGTGAACGGTTTCTTCTTCTTCTTCTGGCCAGGCTGGATACTCGTCTGATTGGAAATTCCAGCCTCCAACGGCGGACAACGAACTTTACCATCGGCAGACTCGATCGTGGCGCCTCTCGCGGTCTCCAGGAAAAGCCTGGAGTCAGTCTTTTCGGGGACACCAGCCTCTGCGTTTCCAGCGCAGATCTGTCTACTTTCCGGTATATCTGTCTGAAAGTAGGAGAGCTGAGACACGTACGGGGACACCTGGAAGCCTGGAAAGCTCCAACTTCCTGCCTGCAACAGGTTGCTCTCGTAACCGCGAAGGATCTCGTCCGTTCCGGCCAGTCTCTGTCGAACCTCTGGTGACAGTAGGTAGTAGCTCGATCCAGCCTCGGGCGTGGAGAAGCTTGGCGAGCTGTTGCCGCCGGAAGTCATGGTTAGGCGGCGCTCCTGCAACTCCCAACGGAGCAAATCGTCGCGAAGACGATGAAGATTGGCAACGGTGAGGCTGCTCGTCTGCGCGTTAGGATTTATCGACAGGACGGGCGAGGATTCGGAATGAGGAGGCGGCATGGCGGACGCCAAGGCCTGAAGCTCGGATTTCAACAGTTCCTTGTCGGGTTTGTGCAGCTTGAAACGTTTTCTGCGCCGTAGGAGGGAGCCATTCTCGAACATGGAGAGAGCTGCCGGGTGAAGAGCCCAGTAGGCGCCCTTGCCAGGACGGTGGGGCCCTCTTGGCACCTGAAAACAACAACAATTTTCCCGTGTACAGAGAATAGTTTCAACGTATATAGTGTGTGTGTGTGTGTATGTGCATGTATGTATATGTGCGCGTTTGTGTGTGTATGTATATATAACCTGTACGCAAGCGTGTGATATCTGTGGAATAGCCGATTCTTTTTATATAAAAGTGTTTGGATGGTTCGAAATATGATTTATGAAAGAGATGTATGACTGCATAAAGTCGTAAAATCTGTCAAGCATTAATCATTAATATTAATCATTAATTTGAAATAAACAAACACGGTATATCCACTTTGAATTATCATATTTAGCGGTGATAGTAACAGTTCAGAAATAACCGCAAATCAAATATGACGTATTATGCATTAGAATATTGCAATGCCATGCATCTATTAAGCGTGTAATGTTATATAAACAAAAAACAGCGTATAATGCGAATTTCTATTCACCGATGCAACTCGTTAGAAGCGTGCTTGCCTCGCGTACGCGCATGCATATGTACATACAGTCATTTAATTAGCATAAATGCATACAGAACGTTTCGTATCTACGCGAAGGAAACAATATTTCACGCGTAGATACGCACAATATGTATGTTTACACATTGTTACGAATTAAGAAACGGATAAGATTTAATATCCACCTCGTGAATAATAATTAGCCTTGCTAATTTTAATCATTAATCACGTCTTAAGGACGAGAAAAGAATATCCGTGTAACATAACTATAAATCGTTAAAATATAAAATTTCTTCTTAGTTAACTTTTACGCTTGAGACTGAAGAAATTGCGAGGAGTTTAAGGAGAAAGAGGAGGCGATCGTGAGATCAAAAAAATATTTTGAAATAATAATATTGTTTCGCGTTTAATTAATTTCGACGATTATTAAGGGAATGATATTCATCCCCCATAGAGATATTTTCATTCGAGACGAAAAATTCGAATCCCTCGAAGCTGATTCATTCAAAAAGAAAAGGAAAGAAAAAATTTCTGCTCGTCGCAGAAGCTCGATTATCAAGCACGATTCCTATTGCTCGTTTTTTCGCTCGTACATGTCGATGATCGTGCGTAGTTTATCGTTGGAACAGGTGCAATCAGTTATAAATTAAACGTTACGAGGCCATTTTTATGATAATTTCGCGGTAATTTCAATTTGAAGTGAAAGATCGTTTCGGATCGTTATAATTTGAATTTATTTTCATATATGGAGTGAGATATGGTTTTAAATGTAGCTTCCTCGGTCGGTAAGCAATAATTTTGACGGTATAAAAATAAAAAGAGGAAAATACGCGTAGTAGTATGGGTAAATGGGAGCTATTATAGAGACGAGAATTCAAATCCTACGCGAAGAAGAAGATATGGTTCGATATCGTTTATAATTATTGAATTAAATAATTGTACAAAATGATTATTTAAATGATCTCTCGAAATTATTTCATAACAAAAATATCGATAGAACGAACGATTACATAAATTCTTATCCACGCATAGATTCTTCTAGATCCCACTAATATCGTTAAATGTTTTTCTAAATATAAAAAAATTGCATGATTATCTTTACAATAAAAAAAGATTAACAATTTTGAATTCTAAATTCTTGTCACGATCAAACTCTGTCGCAAGCAAAAAAGAAAAAACTCAATGATTTTTATTGCTGTCCCAAAACGAGATTTAACTAATTTGTTTACCAATCGAATCGGTTGTAAACTTCGAACATTTTTTTTTTTTTCACGTGTCTTTAAAATTCGATCGAAAAATACCGGTTTGCGGATAACGAAGGTAAGAATGAGGCAAATCAACGGGATTCGAGAATCCACGGACTCCTCGTCACGGTGATCTATCTGCTCACCTTCCATTTATCCGTCGTACCTCTCTAACGTTCGTAACCTCGAAAACCTAGGCTAATATTTTATTCATTCCCTTTCGTTCCGCTGTGAAAATCTCTACTGTGTCTGCGCTTCCAGCATCAACAATTCAGCCATTTTTTTGTCCGCCAATATTAGACTTTAATTTAACTGCTAACAATAAAAAAATTACCTACTTAAATATTAACCGCTTTAATTCCTCAACAACAAATTGCTGACTCGACGACTAGAGGGCGGAAAAATCGCAATTCAAATTTCAATCTTTTCCTCTTTATTTTTGTCGGTATTATAAACGGCGTTGAGGTAACGTTTCGAGACAAGAAAGTTTTTCTCTTCTCTTCTGTTCTCTTTCTCCCGACCATCTGTTTCGCACCTGCCTCGACCTAAATCGTGGAACGCGATCGGCGAGGATCCACGGAAGGGGATCGTTTTGCTCTTGTCTTTCTCTCTTTCTCCTCTTTCGGTTTTTTGCTTCTGTAATTCGTGATACGCGGCTCTGGATCCGCGTAATGATTCGTAAGAATTCGAATTTGAAATTCTTGAGTATATATCGTTCGATTTTACGAAAATTTTATTTAATTCTAAATAAAATTTAATTATTGATCGATTAAAAATTTAATTATTTGAATTATTTAATTCTAAATAAATTTTCGTCTGTTAATATTGAATAACAAATTATGTAATAACTTTTCAACGGATGTATAATTAATTAACTCGCGCGATTATATACGTTTTGAGATTTCTTATTTTCAATCGTGCTAATTACGTTGGTATACTTTTTCTGAACATGGACAAAGATTAAGGAACTTTGTATCATATCGATTACCGATATTTAATAACATTGTCTCGAGATCATTTCATTTTAAAAATATTTCCGAAATTGTGCTCCATGCATAGTAATTTTATCGTTCGATTTAAATTCTCTAAATTATTTTATAAATTATAATATTATATATAATGTTATAAACATTATTATAAATTTTTTAATAACATAGCACTCGAGATCATTTCGTAAAAGTACTTTCAAAATCGCGTTCCTTGCGATAATAATTTTATCGCGAATTTTATCGTTCGATTTAAACTCTATTTATGCAAATACGATTAAAGATTATTTGCCATTATAAATTTTTATTATGTTTGAATATTTTTCCTGCTTAATCAGTTTACCCTTTCCTGTCTCCAAAGATTGAGAAAATATCGAATCATTATGATAGTTTTCTATCATTTTATAAAAAATATTTCCAAAATTGTGTTTCGAAGATATAATCTACATGGTAATTTTATGATTCGATTTAAATTCTCTATTTATGTAAATAAGAGAAAGATTATTTACCCATTATAAGTTTTTATTATGTTTGAATATTTTTCCTGTTTAATGACTCTTTTCTGTCGTTAAGAAAATATCGAATCATCGTGTCAGCTCTCGACAATCGTTTAGTAAAAATATTACCAAAATCGTGTCTCGAAGATATAATCTACTAATCTAGTAATTTTACGTTTCGATTTAAATTCTCTATTTATGGAAATACTTTTCGTTAAGGAAATATCGAATCATTTCATAAAAATATTACCAAAATCGTGAAGATATAATCTAGTAATTTTATATTTCGATTTAAATTCTCTCTTATGCTTTTTTGTCAAGGAAATATCGAATCATCGTGATATTTCTCGAAAATCATTTCGTAAAAATATTACCAAAATCGTGTTTCGAAGAAATAATCTACTAATCTAGTAATTTTATATTTCGATTTAAATTCTCTTACGCAAATAAGAGAAAGATTATTCGCCCATTATAAATTTTTATTATATTTAAATATTTTTCCTCTTTAATGACTCTTTTCTGTCGTTAAGAAAATATCGAACCACCGTGATATCTCTCGAGAATCGTTTCGTAAAAATATTACCGAAAAATATTAGTTTCGAAGATAGTAATTTTATATCTAGTAATTTTATATTTCGATTTAAATTCTCTGCTTATACAAGTAACGCATATCAGAGAGTTCAGTCGAAGATTATTTTCCGATTATATAAAAAAAGATTATTCGCCTGTTGTTTTCCTCTTCAATTTCTCTCCTACGTATAAAATGTAACAAGATAATGAAGAAATTGTGGAAAACACGAACGAGTATTCTTATTCCTTCTCCTTAATCCCATTAATCACACTTAACTGTATCCCTCGTGAATTTATCATTGAGGTTCTTCGCGCAACGAAGAATGCGCAAGAAGAAAAAGAAGAAGAAGAAGAAGAAGACAAAATTACTTATAGCACTGTTATCCTCGATACACCGAAGTGAGCGCATAGGCGATGCATAGGCGTAGATAATATCTACGCAAATCTGGAACACGCCGTTTCGTTTATAAGATCTAATTAGTAACAACGATTCCATATTATACCCGAGGGAAAAAAATAATCCTGTAAATCCGCGTGGCCACGCTTCATATTCCACGGATGTTGTGTACACACTTTTCAAGGTGGAAGAAAATATATTTCGCCCTGATAAATATCAAATTACAACTCTCGAAGAATTTTTACCGATTCATTTTTTTCTTTTCCAAGATGACAATAAATAATAAAAAATCGAATTAATTAATAATCTTTGCAGAAAGTTATAATATAGTATATATATATATATAATATAATACAGGAAGTTATAATATTATTTCTTTTTCCTTAAAAATCTTTTCCTTAAAATTTCTTCGAAAATATCGCTCGTAATTTCGAAAATTCGAATTTCATCGCAGCGAAGAAGACGAAGAAGAAGAAACGTAACGATAAACTTCCGTAAACGCTACAAGTTGAGAAGAGAATTATTAAGTTCCATTAATCATGTCTCCACTTTCTTTATCTTCGATCTTGTGCTTGCCAAACCAGAAAAGAATTCCCTCCAACCGAACCTTCCTCCCGCGTTAAAAAATCGTTATTCCTTCCTTAATTCCTTCCTCCTCCTCCTCCTCCTCCTCCTTCTCCTCTTCTTCTCTTTCCAAAAGATAGACACGAAAGATAGAGGCGAACGAAACAATCGTCCTCCCAATATCGTTGAAAAATCAAGCTTTTCTAACCTTAACCTGTTAAAATGAACAGCACTGTCCTTTTCTACTATCTTTTTCTTCACCACTCAAGATCGTTATAATAATAATTCAAAAATTCGTTCGAATAATAATTCAAAAATTATTTTCAATTTCGATTTTTATTCCTGAACTGCTCGAAATTACGAGTTTGTTACATTAACTCTTTGCTCTCCAACGGTGATTCTCGATCATTGTTGCGGCAATATTTATTTAGAATATCGCTTCATAAATAGGTTTCTAAGCTCTTTATAATTTTATGAGAATAATATATTGTTAAATGGGTAGATTTATTATTATTTATTCACCTTAAATTAGACCGTGATCGTGAGTCGAACGAAATGGTGTTAGTCCGAGTTTGAATAGAAATATTATTTTCAAAGTTTTTGAAATTTTTAAGCATGGAATATGAAATTAATTGAAGCGAAGATGAGTTTAATTTTTCGTTATTGAATGACAAAATTACTTTTATTCATAAAGAAATTAACGATAGAGATGAACATAGAGATGAAATAAGAGGTTTAAGAAGGCGAAAAATAACAATAATAGATAGCGAATGTGAAAGCAATAGTTGAAGCGAAGATATCGCAGAAGACGCGGGAAATTCGAAATGGATAACACGCATGGAATCGGAAAATATATCGCGAAGAATACAATTTGTAGGACCACAAGTTTCTTATTATTAATATAAATGTACCATTAGATCTTTTTAAAGTATCTTTTACTTAATGAACTTATTAATGAAATAATGCCTTATATACTTAATAACTTATTAATAACTTATTAATGAAAAAACGAATAATTAAAAAAGTTAGAAGGAAAGGTACTGTTGCTCTGCTTGCCCTGACAAACCGAGGATGCATCTTGCTTCGTAAAATAATATAGATTTTAATATTCGATAAATTTTGTTTCTTTATATGTAAAGATGCATAAAATATAAAAGTTTTTTTATCTGGAGTTGCTGGTTCGAAACATGCCTGGAGTGCATTAAACTATGTATATTATTAATTATTAATTATATTAATTATTTATTATTAATTATCTTGTTTTAATTATTTTATTTTAATTATTTCGTTTGCTTGCTCTAGGAAAAATTCGTGCTACGCATACCTTGATGAAGCAATCGTTGAAGGAAAGATTGTGCCTCAACGAGTTCTGCCATCTTCGAGTGTCCTTCCTGTAATAGGGGAAGCGATCGGCGATGAACTTGTAGATCTCGGCCAGCGGCAGCATCTTGTCCCTCGACGACCATATCGCCATCGCTGTCAACGAGATGTAGGAATATGGCGGCTTCTGGTCGCCGTAAGTGTCCCTCGACGGTCGAGGCATCTCTCGAATTCCTTCCTCTCAACTACCCCAATTCCTCCCCCTTGATCGAATTCCACTAGTTACTTTCCCTTCCTTCTTCCCCTCGCATCTTTCTTCCACGCTTCCTTACATCCCTCTCTCTCTCTCTCTCTCTCTCTACCAGTTCCAACCGGTGTTACTCGCGTTGGCACTTGCGGTGGTGCGTTATCTTCGATTATCCAGGGTTCCGCTCATCGTTTCATTCACGATCGGTGAGTGATAGGGGCGGTCGTGGATGGCCCATGGAGAAATTTTCGTCCTGAAAAGTGAGAGGCGGTTTTTGCAATGGAAATTTGTATATATGTGTATATATATATTTGTGATTCGTGTAATGTCCACTTGGAGATCTACTTGGACAATCGCAATCGTTGTGAATTCTTTTTAAGAGAGTTTGGAATGTAATTATTTTGGAATTCGTTTGTTTGTGCGAGGTGAAAATATAGCGAAAATATAGTGATCTGTTTGCCGTGCAAAGATACCTTGTCCAATCTTTCTTCTCGAATTCTGTGTTTCTATATATATATATATATATATATTTGTGGATTTAAGTGGTATATAAAAATCTTTACACATCAAAGTTTGTATGAACTTGTTTATTATTAACATTATTAACAAGTTTTATTAATACTTTTTGTCTTTTTTGTCAGCTATAAATAAAGGAAAATGAAATCGATCCTTTTTCTTTTTTTTTAAGGATCGAGTCGAGAATTCTGAGAACACTTTTTCCACCGAAGTTTCGTCAAAACAGATCAAATTAAAAGTTCGTTAAAATTTGCGCTTAGGTGATCCTATTCCTTCTATTATTTTTCCCCCAGATTTTTGAAAACTTTCGATGTAATTTTTATATAATTTTTATCGCGGCGAACGAATTCACGAGATTCGCGAGAAACTGGTGAGAGAGAGAGAGAGAGAGAGAGAGAGGAGGTGTTCCGAGAATCGAAAGGCCGAGAGAAGGCGGAAGAAGGAACGAGAGAGGCACGAGAAGAAGGACGAGGAGTTCGCAGACAACAAAGGGCGGCCTGAGGAGGAGGAAGGATTTTGGAGAGGAGAGTTGTGATGATTTCTTTTTTTTTTTTTTTTTTAATTAAAATCGATAATCGAGTCCACGANAAGGCGGAAGAAGGAACGAGAGAGTCACGAGAAGAAGGACGAGGAGTTCGCAGACAACAAAGAGCGGCCTGAGGAGGAGGAAAGATTTTGGAGAGGAGAGTTGTGATGATTTCTTTTTTTTTTTTTTTTTAATTAAAATCGATAATCGAGTCCACGATGGAGGAATATACGTGGGATATATTGTTAAATGATGGGTAATAAATATTTCAAAAATGAATTTGATCATAAGTGATCATAATTTCATTTTTGAGATTTTTTTAAAATTTAAAATTGAATAGAAAATTTAGTTTGTTTAATTGGTATTATTTATTAGATAATGAAATTCGGTTAGAAATAATTTTTATTAATTAATTACTAAATAATTGATTCAAGAGATCTCGATTCTTTAAATTTTTAAATGTTTAATGAATTTTGAAAAATAATTAATTTTTAATTATTAATTCAGTTTAAGAAATACTTGAATGAAGTTGATTGTAATAAGTATAAATATATCGATCGAGTCACAGGTACGATAAAATATCGTACAATATATATCTTTCTCTATTTTTAAACGAAATAAAAAATCGAAAATATAACAACTTTCTAATTCGAATCGCGTATAATAATTTACATAAAAGAACGAGGGAAGGAAAATGGAAAATTAAATTAAAAATCAGAAAATCGACCTTCCCGAAGAGTTACGTTGCAAGAAAGAAGAAGAAGAAGAAGAAGAAGAAGAAGAAGAAGAAGAATTTTGATTCCATGTAAAAAATGTATATTTTTTCTTTATTAAAACGGATAATCGCAGTCATAGAATTGTAGAAACGATAAAAGATCGTATAATGTGTATATATTTCTATTTTTAAACGAAATAAGAAATCGAAAGTGTAACAATTTTCTAATTCGAATCGCGTATAATAATTTACATGAAAAAACGAGGAAAGGAAAATGAAATTAAAAATCAATTTCGAATCGACTTCCCTGTAGAGTTACGTTGGAAGAAAGAAGAAGAAGAATTTTGACTCCATGTAAAAAATATATATATATTTTTTTTTTAATTAAAAGATCGATAAGTCACAGAATTGTAGATAAAAGATCGTATAATGTGTATATATCTCTCTATTTTTAAACGAAATATTTAATTATATTTAATTATAAAATTTTAAATAAGAAATCGAAAGTGTAACAATTTTCTAATTCGAATCGCGTATAATAATTTACATAAAAGAACGAGGGAAGGAAAATGGAAAATTAAATTAAAAATCAGAGAATCGACCTTCCGTAGAGTTACGTTGAAGAAAAGAAGAAGAAGAAGAAGAAGAAGAAGAAGAAGAAGAAGAAGAATTTTGATTCCATGTAAAAAATATATATATATTTTTTTTTTATTAAAAGATCGATAAGTCACAGAATTGTAGATAAAAGATCGTATAATGTGTATATATCTCTCTATTTTTAAACGAAATAAGAAATCGAAAGTGTAACAATTTTCTAATTCGAATCGCGTATAATAATTTACATATGGAAGAAGAAGGGAAGAGGGGTGGGGAGTTTCGTGACGAGGGGAGGTTATGGAAAATGAAATTAAAAATCAGAGAATCAACTTTTCCGTAGGGTTGCGCGCTGGGGTGGCGCGTTTTAAAGGGGTGTAATTGCGGAAAATAAAGTTTCGAATTGGTCAGATAAGATCGTGCTGCGACAAACACACATACACACACATATATATATATATACGGGAATAACTTTCGTTATCGGCGATACACGAGCCATTAACAATTAGTGGTCGCGTGAAAACGGCCAGTCTACGTATACCTATGTATACAGATGGCGTGTTCTACAAAACACCCTTTTTCTTTGTCGCTTGACCGAGAAACTACGATTTCTTCGTGAAAGAATCCTTCTTTCTTCCTTTTTTTTTCCTCCTCCTTTTCCCTTCCACAAATGACGAATTTATTCCAATAGCGAAACGAAATGATCGAGGATACGATTACATCACGTTCTCTGATCTTTCGAATTCGAAGAGACGATATATATATATATTTCAATAACGAAACGAAAAAATCGAGAATACGATTATATTACGTCTTCGAATTCGAAGAGACGATATATATATATATATTTCAATAGCGAAACGAAAAAATCGAGAATACGATTATATTACGTCTACGAATTCGAAAAGACGATATATATATATATATTTCAATAGCAAAACGAAAAAATCGAGAACACGATTATATTATGTTTTCTGATCTTTCGAATTCGAGGAGACGATATATATATACTCCAATAGCGAAACGAAAAGATTGAGGATACGATTATATTACGTCTTCTTTCGAATTCGAGGAGACGATATATATATATATTCCGATAGCGAAACGAAAAGATATTATATTACGTCTTCCGATCGTCTTCGAATTCGAAGAGACGATATCTTTCCGTTGAAATTAAAAATCAAATATTCGACCGATTATCTTATTTTAATGTATCTTTTTATCGACCATTTTTCCACGTGAAAATATCATTAGCACTAATGTATATATATGTACATTACTGCTAATGATATTTATATATATATATATATATATACAACTGAATGTTCGATCTTTATCTCTTAGTCATTCCTTTAACTTAAATTAGACGCTCTGTAATTTTCATAATAAGATAGATATAACTCTCGAACGAAAATATCGAATCTACCTTAATAATATTTTCATAGAAAATTGCTTTGAAAAGCCTCTCGTTTCTATACTCGTTTCTATATACGCGACATCTGTGGATATACACGCATACATACATATATGTATATATATATATCGCGTCGTACCTTACGTACATTGATATTAGGTGTACTTATGCGCAAAAGTCGGTACAATGAAGGCAGCAGTTAAATATAATCGTCGAGTGTATGCCCTTTTTTTTTTTCTTTACCACCTTATCGCGCGCAAATTCAGGGTATTCGGGATTCCAAGAGGATCGTTTTTACTCGATATTATTTCTCGATCGGCGAATAAGAAGAAAGTGTGCGAGCACGAAAGGGCGCGAGAAAAATGAAAAGACTAGTTTCCGTTCGCAACAACGTGTTGAGTTGATGCACAGGATGAACCGCCACTCTGCAAATAATAATTACAGCTATATATATATATATATATATATATACACTCGTTCCGCGAATATAAGAATGTTTCGAGTAAATGATTGGACGTGTATAACGGAGTATTATTTAATTATTTTTTTCTCCTTCTTCTTCTTCTTCTTCTTCTTCTTCTATCGTTTGTGTGTAAAATTATCTAAAGAAAAAAAAGAAAAAGAAAAAGAAAAGCGGAAAAAACTGTTCTTAATGTCCAATAATCATCGAAAAGTTAATAGAGAAGGGATTCGAGGAAACGAATAACAAGATAATATTTCGTTTAAAATAGCTTTTTAAAAAGCGCATTGTTCGTGTTTCGTGACAACAAACTGCCTTCTCGAACGTAAGTGGAGATGATACGGGAAAACATGATAAGACAGATCGATAATTACCAGAATTAAATCTCTCTCTCTCTCTCTTTCTTTCTCTCTCGCTCACTGTTGCATGCATCGCGAGGAAAAACATGGAATCACGAAATCGCACATTTTCTTCTAAAATGTTTGAACGGCACGTGAAAACACGGGGGAAATGACACAGCAGCGCGATAACATTAAATAAGAAAATAATCGAAACAATTATAATGGATAATGGATAATTGAATGGCTTTGAATTAAAGATGTTATCATCGAAGAAAGATTAAAATGTACGACCTGGTGTTTAGTAAGAAAAAAAAAGAAAATTAAAAAAATTTTCGATTTATTCGATGGAAGATTTTTTTTCTTTTTCTTTTTCTATATTCTCCTTCGAAATAAGAATCTTAAGCGCAGTTCTAGTGGATTTTTTACGATTGTAAAAATATTTAACGCGTTCCTTAAACTACATTATCGATGGGATAACTATGGAGATGAATAATGATGAAAAAGGAAAGGGACAAATCAAAGATTCGTTTCTTTTTCTTTTTCTATATTCTTCTTCGAAATAAGAACGAATCTTAAGCGCAGTTCTAGTGCCGTTTTTTGCGATTATAAAAATATTTAAACTATAAAAATATTTAAACTATGCGTTCCTTAAACTACGTTATCGATGGGATAAGTCAAGGATGAATAATGATTAACGGAAAGGGATAGATCAAAGATTCGTTTCTTTTTCTTTTTCTATATTCTTCTTCGAAATAAGAACGAATCTTAAGCGCAGATTCGTTTTTTTTTCTTTTTCTATATTCTTCTTCGAAATAAGAACGAATCTTACGCGCAGTTCTAGTGGATTTTTTGCGACTGTAAAAATATTTAACGCGTTCCTTAAACTACATTATCGATGGGATAACTATGGAGATGAATAATGATGAAAAAGGAAAGGGACAAATCAAAGATTCGTTTCTTTTTCTTTTTCTATATTCTTCTTCGAAATAAGAACGAATCTTAAGCGCAGTTCTAGTGCCGTTTTTTGCGATTATAAAAATATTTAAACTATGCGTTCCTTAAACTACGTTATCGATGGGATAAGTCAGGGTAGAATAATGATGAACGAAAAGGGATAGATCAAAGATTCGTTTCTTTTTCTTTTTTTATATTCTTCTTCGAAATAAGAACGAATCTTAAGCGCAGTTCTAGTGGGTTTTTTGCGATTATAAAAATATTTAACGCGTTCCTCAAACTACGTTATCGATAAGTATGAAGATGAATAATGATGAATGGAAAGGGATAAGTCAAAGCCTATCGTGGATTTATTCGAATATTATCGCGAAATATATTATAATTATTTATTTTTATGTTAATTCAAAATTAAAGGCTATGGTTAATCACTGGAGATTAAAAATAACGTCACGATTTTTATTTGTTTGTTGTTGCCAAATGCATACAAAAGGAGTAATAAACGGAATAAATGATTGAATAATTTTTCCAGATTTTAGTTTGATAACTATTAATCGTTAAAACGAAATAACTATGACTGGTAAGTGAAGTATGTAGATGTATATATCTATGTGTGTGTGTGTGTGTGTAATATTTTTATCTATTTGCATTAAATGTCAAACTTTTACACTATCTTAAATATGCAATTTCATACGTACTTTTTATTACGAAGAATGTCGAACGGAATCTTGAGCACTCGAACAATATCCCTGCAAGTCACTGAAAGTCTTCAAAAAATCTTGCCCCCTCTCATGCTTCACAGAGATTTACAGTCCATTCGAAAAATCCATAAATCCCACTCCTCTCCTTCCCAGATATCTCGATGTTCACTTTTACACAAAATTTCAACGTTCCAAATCAGTTTTCGGTCGATAATGATCAACTTGCTACGCGTAATCACAATCGTTTTTCCTCCCCGATAATCACTCAGACCGATTTTTCACCAATTTTCTCGGGGGAAAAAAAAAGAAAAGAAGAAGAAGAGGAAAAAACACCTGTTCTATTCTAAAAATGGCAGATCCAGGAAAAAACGTTTCCTCAAAATCTAATCGATTCTTCTTTCATAAAATTCCTCCAAAAGGAAGAATTTTACCATTTTTCGTAATAACGAACGAGGAGAGGAAAGGGTAGTCCTTGCGCAACACTCGAGACCGAATATCTAAAAATCTTCCATCTTTCGAAATCCATCCAATCCAAAATCGATCGATGGGAAAACCGTCGAGATGTGTCTACATCACCGTCCAAATCTCACCCCTTCCGGCGGTGAAGAATTCGAAAATCCATCTCTCGCCATCCGATTCTCTTCCCTCTCCGCCCGATTCCCTGCTCGAAAATAGCGCGTTGTCGATACGAGAAGATGGGCGAGTTTTTTGTCCACGGGAATCACGGCACGGGGAACGAAACAGTGGACCGGAAGCGACACCGTGGTATAAGCGCACGCGGCCGGAAACCGCGAGCGGTGGAAAACCGGAAGGGTAAAGGAAAATCGAGCAACCAACGTCGCGTCTCCAGGGACACTGCGCTCGAACGATACCCACACTCCCGATACGCCACCTCGCCCCCACCACGCGGCCTCCCGTAACGAGACGCGGCCCGATTGGCGCCGCGCCACGACGCCCACCGCGTCACACTTGACCGCCGAATTAGTGGGCGGGGCCTCGCCCCTCCCTCCCCCTCTACGCGCCCCTCCATCCTCTTCACGCCTCCGCGGACGCGACCCTTCTCCGTCCCACCTTCGCGCGAGTAGGCGTTCTCCCGTTTCTTGTCCGCTTCTTGTCCGCGTTACGCGCCCGTTTTGTTAACATTGTTTTCGTCGTGTACACGTTAAACGGCTTTAACCTGTTGGCGATCCACGGATGCGCGAATTCTCTCCGTTCCAGAAGGGGACACGGAAAGCGCAGAGAAAATTTTTTTTTTTTCTTTTTTCTTTTCGAACAGATGAATGTGCGAAATATGAATCGATCGTTTCGAGAATACGCTGTTGAAAATTGATTCCACGTAGACTCCACGTTTCCCGCTTCGTATTCGTATGTGAGAAAAATTGTAATATAACGGAGGAGTAAGGGTAGTCTTTTGTACTCCGCTCTGAATTGTTCACGGATGCGTAACCATGGAAAAAAGATATTCTACCATGGAATCTCTTTTGTTTTCGATCCAGCTATTTATTTTTGCAATTTTATAATTTAATAACTTCTAACAAAGGGAACCTGCGTCGAAGATTTTGATTTATTCGAAACTATCTTGCCTCGTAAGCGCCTCGTAAGCAAAGCGTTCGAGGAAAATTATCGTCAACTCGGTAAATCTCAAATAGAAATCTGTTGTTACGAGTTATTACAATATATATATAAAAGTCTCGAATTTTGAAAATTATCGTGACGCTTGGTATTTTGTGTAATTTAGTTTAGAAATTGATGATATGCTTGTAACGTTTTACAAAAATTCCGTAATAATAAGAGTAAAAGGAAAATAAAAGTTCTGTTCCGATTTAATCCTGGTATCGCACAGTGTATTTTATCCATATGGAGAATCACTGTTTCCATCGTATATATATTTCCAACTATATCTCGGTCGAAGAAAACTTAAATATAGATTTTAATGCGAGTTAAACTCGTAATTTGTGTCTAATAGATACTTATTTTAAATATTAAATAGATAGATGTTACAGTTAAAACTTTTCCTTTAAAAATCCTTTCTTTCTAAAATTGTATTACTTCGTGTTAAATTGATCGAGAAACATTCTTTCTCCATTTTTTTAACAATAATTTGTCACAAAATTGAAACAAGTTTTATATTCAAACAGAATGTGTGAATAAGAAAAACTTTTATATAAAAATTATATATAATTTATATATAATATATATATATATATATATATATATATATATTTATATTTTGAATTATTATTTCATTCCACACAATCAAAAGTTTGTTACTTTCGATCAAGTACCATTTCTCTCTCTCTCTTTGTATGTAGTCTTCGACATCTGACTGCATAGGACACCTATATATTTATCATAAAATAGAAAAAAAAAAAAAAAAGAAAGAATGAATAGCGGAAGCAGCTTTTTATTGCATATTCAAAACAGTAAAATGAATAATAGTACGATACTTACATGATCAAACTTACGGTTGCAATAAGAAAGCAATAAAAAAACAGGGAGGTATATATATATACAAAATATTATTTATCGTTACTGAAGTGTGGAGCAATAAAAACTTGAAACGAGTTAACGAGTATAGAACGAGTGAGAAGATTAAAACCTCCAACTCGTGATTTCAGGTTTACGTAAAGCCTCTTGGAAGGATGTAATTTAAAAATATTATCTCAGAATGATGCACTTCAAACAATCCTATATTATTTATATACAATAATAACGAAATGGATATTTTTTTTATACGTGTTATTATTATCTGTTAAACCTATTCCAAAATATATTCGTTCGCGTGAAGATGGAAGACACTTTGTATTTTCTTTTTTTTTTTTTTGGAGCAATATAATTTGTGGATAAATACATGGAGGGGATACGAAGGTGGTCATTTCCTGTAACCAGGAGGAGGAGCCACCGTGTCATTTATAATAATAAAAATTGTGAAAAATATATCGTTTATTTTTAATTTTTAATCTTCATCTCTCTTGAAACAAGACTAAGTAGAAGAAATTATCATATATTAATATATTTGAATAAGAAACGATTCTTCTCGTTTACTTACTTACCGAATAATCAATTCTTAATAAAATCGCGATAAACATTTCCAATGAGAATGAGAAAAATTGTTTAAAACATCACATAAACAAGCAAATAATTTCCATATATATATATATATATATATCAAACTTAAAACAAGCTCGTAACATTTCAACTTTCTCATTTATCAATCTTAAAAACATGCTCCGTGTTCTACCCATCTTATCTCGTCCGTCCAACCTCCTCCGTAGACGCAAAAACATACATTGGTCCCCTCTCTTGCATCGCGACACGACTTTTCCCGTCCCCCGCCGTGTTACGAACTCGACCGTATTCAACCCGAAATGTGCAACCGGTCTCTTGCTTATTGTTTCTTCGTCGATTACGTCGCCCCTCATTCCCCACCATTCGCAAGCGACGCCCCGCCCACTTTATCCGCGACCGAAGGCGGCGGGCGTGGCTCCGATGGGCGGCGACCGCGGCGCGACCCGCGGTGGGCGTGGCTCGCGATTCTTCGTCCTTTTCCGCCACGTTTCACCGCCATCACTGCCAGTCGCGCCCCCTCGACTCGTCGGATTCCTCCATTGGTCGTGGGCGTGGCCTGGATCCACTCACTCCCGACTCTTGTACTCGTACTGGGCTGTTCGTGAAAAAAGTATGATACGCGAGACGAAGACGAAAGAAAGTTGATGGGAAATGGAAAGGTTCTATTCTGGAAAAAAATTGCATCACCCCTACCTGTCCACCGTACGGTAGCAAGCACGCGCGAAATACTTGGGTGGATCGATGCGCGGAGGAGAAACATCGTTAACTGCTCGTTGTACAGCTCGTACGTATCCATGTAATATACGTGTATTACGCGTTTATTTTTTTTCGTTTATTGATTGTTTGGCGAGGTTGATCGGGTAACGCAAGGATATTAATCAGGGTTTTCTATTTAATTCATGCTGTTATTGTTATATTTAAAAAAGCCTTATTTATTGAAAACAATTCCTTGATGAAGAATATTACATCAAAGATAAGTAGACATGATTGAATATACTTTTAGGTCGTGTTGTATCCGTATTTATATATCTATAAAAAATAAAAAATTCTCTATTGTTAAATATATATTCATAAACGATAGGCATTTATTCTTAATACAATAAATAACTATCTACATACAAATATTGTTAATTAGAATTACGAGCAATTATTGTGCAAAATTTAAATAAAAAAGATATCCTTCTATCTCGGGATAATAGTTTACATATATAAGAAAAGTGCTTATGCGAAAAAAATTAAAAATATATTTATTACATAAATAATTGTATATCCGATCTTTAAAATAAAGAGTGCTATTGGATAATGCAAGTTAGTGTTTAGTTCTGGAATTCTCTATCATACATTATGTAACAATTATTTCTAATAAATAACTATACGCTATCGATCATAAATATGTATTGGATGTATTAGAATATTTAGATATTTTATGTTTTAAATTTTGAAATGTTCTTTTATTTTGTTTTCAATATTTTATTATTTTAAAAATTTTATACTTTATTTTATTTGATTTTGTAAAACGCTGTATAAATGAAACAACAGATTTTATAATAAAACTTGAATTTTTATTTTATATAAATTTTGTTAAATTTAAAACAAACGAAATATTTAAAAATTTTGAACTTTTACTTCTACTCTATCGAATATTTACATTATTATTAAATATTTATGTTGGCCACGTTTAATATTTGATGAATGAGTAACCTTTTGAGAATACTATGTATTAACAATGGCATAAGATAATTTCTAGTTTAAACTGTAAATCCTTAATTAATAATCGCAACAATCAATGCCATAACAAATACGAATATAAAAATAATAAGAATCCAAACATTTGAAGAAATTGAATACTTATTATCTCACTGTGTCCAAGAAGGGAATATTCTTCAATCGTGGAAATAATTCTAAATATATATATCAATATAACAAAATATTTCGATAACGCGATATCAAATATCAATACAAAAACACGAAAATAACACCAAATGAATCAAATCTTCCCCAACCTTCATTTCTTTTATTTCGACTTTTCCAATCGTTACACAAAACCCTTGAAACTTCGTAGATGACTAATAGATTGATCAGTAGCGTAGGATTGCTTCGCCGCCCGTTTATCCGACTATCTGTTCTCAATTGCCCTATCTGCTCTTTTTGCCTTCAACGAGCAGCCAATTCGACGAATTCAATAACTCCGGTGTCCCGCGTGCTCGATCGTCGACCCTGTTCTCCTCCGCGCCACGGGTTATCCCCACCACGATGGCTGTGAGGCGGAGCGCGTTCCGTCGCGAGCCGTGGTTGGTGATGAGGCGTGGACGCCACGCCCATTCGTGTCGCTTCAGTGTCGCAAACCTCTTACGTTACGCTCCGAAGAACCGGATCGTCGATGCGCGCATCGCATATAGCCGCGCACGAACGTGCGAACTGACCTCGGGGACCAACCCTCAAGAATTGTGACTGGGTAATATATATAAAGCGAGGAAAAGGAAGTGCCGTTTTTTCCCTCAACGATGCTGCTCCAAGCAAATTGATCGATTTGTTTGGATCTGTTCAATTTCGATTTACTGAAACTGCGTTTAGAAAATTGTGTGAACGAAACACTTCGTACCAATATATATCGGGTAAATATTGATGAAAATTTTTAGACTTTGTTCTAGTGGAAGAACAAATATTGATAGAATAGAATAATAGAACTACGGTTTGTTTGGACTTCGAAAAGATTAAAATTCTTTATTTATTTTTGTATGATTTTTTTTTTATAGGATATGTAATATATTTTATAATAGTGTGTTTGTAAATGAAGATAAAAGCAAAATAAGGAAAAAGAATATTTTGGAAATAAGTCTTCTTAAAGTTAAAATTGTTATATTTAGATTCATTAAATGCTCGTCAAAAGATAGAAAAATAAATAAAAAATTGTTATTTTATATTAAAAATTGTTTCCAAAAAAATTCCACGAAGTTTAATCAAAACGTAATATGATAGATATATATATGTTTTATATGGATAGTGATGCCGACAGTTTTGTGATTCAGGTATACTATGATAATTCTATAGTTGAAATTGAATGTAATTTCTATGTACAAAAATTGAGAAGACGTAAGAAATATTATGAATATGTGAAATTGAAGATAAAATACAAAATAGATCTAAAATAGATCTAACATTCAATGCATTTTTCATATCTATATAATTTATAATGATAGGAGATGGTTACAAAAAATTAAATAATAAAATATAATGAATTATATATAGAACAAAGGATCAAATATATTTTATAATGTTTTATGATGTATTCTAAATTTTAAACTATAAATAAATTACTTTGCGAATTAATATTTTGTTTACAATCTTTCATCAAAACAATATGATAAATTAAATTTGTATTGTGTCATATTCGATAATAACTAGCATATTTTAATAATATTTATATTACAAATAGCAAAAAAAGATTCAACAATCAAATTTTTGTCTATAATTATACGAAAGAAAAAAATAATAAAAAAAGGGAAGATAAAATTAGAGAATCAATGCCATCTCAATTAAGGAATCTGCAAATAAAACTGCAAATATAGAATAATAATAAAAAAAAAATAGAAAAACATGATAAAATAAAAATTGATTGTTAGTGTCATCTTTTGAGTATTAAAGACATCTTTTCAAAGAATCATCTTTCTAAAAATATTCAAGAGATGGCGTTAATCATCAATTCTTATCTTTACTCTATTTTTCAAGAGATGTTTTTGGTAAGAGGTTGGCTTAAGAGATGACACTAACAATCAATTCTCGCTCTATCTTATCCTGCTTTGGAAGAAATTTTGTACTTACTCAAAAGATGACGTTATTAATTATAACTATTTTTTATCCTATCTCTATTCTTTTCCATTATTTTCTCATCTTCTCTATTTCATCCATAAAATTTATGCTTTCATGAAACAACTCCGATATTTAATTATTTTCATCTTTGATGAAGTTTATTGATGAAGTTAGAAAATATTCTAACTCATCTATAAGTATATATCGAACATTGATTTGTAATTATTAACATTATTTGATATCAGTAAAAATGATAATATAAATAAGACGTATATACAGGGTGTCAAAAATATAAACATTCGTAAACTGGAGATTTCTAAAGATAATTTCAAGTAATATTTTCCTTTGCAAAAACTTTCGTTACGATTTTATTAACAAGTTATTTTTTTATTAACAAAAAATTGGCCAATCATTGAATGTATAGTCTAATCAGTAATGTTAACTGTGTTAGTTACCGACTCAACACGAAGAAATTAAATATAACAAATATTTTTTTATTGATATCGAATTATATTACGAATAATAAATAAATAAATGAATAAATATACTATTCAATGTATTTTCTTCAAGATATGTTGCTTGAGCTTGTCGTTGATCGGCGGAATGTAGTCAATGACATACCCTGTATATAAAATTACTAACAATAAAAATGACACATTCTTTTTATTAGATGAACTATGAATAAAATCATTATTGTTATCAAATCATATGTAGATTGAAGTAAAAACATTAGTAATTTTTCTTATCAATAACTTTAAGTTCTTAAAGTTAATATTGTTATTTTTATACATCATTACATTAATATAATTCGATATTTTTACTCATCAAATATTATTAAAAGATATTAATTTGATCTAATAAATTTTTAACACAGAAAAAAATTTAATCGAGACTAAAACTTACAAATTGTTATTTTATATCTTTTTTTAATTGTTTAATTTTAATTATTTATAGTTATTACAGGAGAATAATTAAAAAATAATAACAATAATACTAATAATTGTTTATTATGCACTTTTAAATATTATGCCTTTATTATATTATAATTTATATTACATAATATGGAAAAATAATATTTATATAAATTCAATAATGTATTAATTATTTTTTATAAAGCTCTTTACATGTTTACTAAATTATTAGTAAATAAATATTGCATCTTTTTGAAATAAAATCACTAAAACAGTAAATTATTAGTGATTTTCATGATTTTCTCTTACATTCTACGTGTTGTTACTACGATATATATGTATATATATTACTTTAAATACTCAATAAGAACTTTTGTTTACCAATTACTCAGGCAACCGAGGAAATTATAATGAGTGACGATGATCGAGATATCGACATTGAGAGCGATGTAAGTCTTTACAACTACTCTTTCAATAAATTTTATTAAAAACATTGTTTTTCAGGAAGGTGATGATTCCGATTCTAGACAAAGGCATTCAAATAATACCCAGTATTATTCTCAAGTAAGTTCATTGTTTATTTTTATTTTATTTATTTTCTTTTTAATTCTATTTATATATTTAACATTTCTAATTTAATTATTAATAGATATATATTTTACTATCGAATTGATAGATTTTAAATGTTGTTAAGGTTAGATAGATACTTTCCATTTGCTAAATAATATATTCTATTAAATATAATTTATCATTTTTAATTTAAAAGATGAAACGTATCAAAATGTTTGATTTATGTATTAATTTTTAAATTTATAATTTTTACATTTAAATTAAAATTAGGATATATAAATATATAAATATATAATTAATAATAAAGATTTTTTTTAAAAATTAAGTATTTTATAATAATTATAATATTAAAGTTTAAAAATATTATTTTTATATAATTTGTTTTTTATTATAATTTGACAATAATTTTTAATTATAAAAATATAATTCAGGCTGAAAAACGGGCACATCATAATGCATTGGAACGCAAGCGTAGAGATCACATTAAAGATAGTTTCTCAAGCCTTAGAGATTCTGTACCTGTTTTACAAGGAGAAAAAGTTGCAAGTAGAGCACAAATACTCAAAAAAGCTGCAGAGTATATACAATTCATGCGCCGTAAAAATTCTTCACATCAACAAGATATTGATGACTTGAAACGTCAAAATAGTCTTTTAGAATCTCAAAGTAAGATATTACAATTATTTGTAATTAATTATTTCATTTTCATTAAAAAATTTATAATTATGCACTTTGATATGTACAATATTATTAAATATTTCATGTATTGTATTATGAATTTTTATATAAAAATTGTTAGTTTATTATAATTATATATTTAAATTAATTATATAATATAATTAAGTTAATTGAAATTATATATCATAACTTTTTAATTTTTATCTTATTTGCAGTTAGGGCACTTGAAAAAGCAAAAATAACAGGCAATTTTGCTGCAGAGACTTGTGAAGTCACAAAGTCAGAAGGTGTAGCAATGCCAGGATATAATGACACAGAATCTGAATCATCAGACAGTGAAACTAGCAGAACCGTACGTCAATCAAAAAAACTGAAAGTTGGAAGCCTTCATCATTGACCAACAGTAATCCAATATTTATTCTGACAAGAATTTATTTTTTCGTTGTAATTAAATATTATATAAATATTTATTTCTAAGACACTTGCTCAACCAAAAGAAGCTTTGTAAACCAAAAAGAAAAAAAATCTTTCAGTAAAGTTCTGAATGTCTTAGAGCTAGTGTACAAAATATCAAATAAAGATATTATTGTTTCATTTAAAAATTAATGAAACAATATATTATGAATTATTTGAAGCAATTTTCTAAAATTTGTAAAAATTTAGAATTATTTTATTGATAAAATAATCATTTGATAAAAATTAATAATATAACTTTTATAGATATTTTCATTTACTTTTTTGAAATTATTATTATATTGACAGAATAATTAAATTTAGTTTAAGTAATGATATTAGAAACTTTGGAATATTTTTATTAATACTTTTGAGCAACCTCTCTAAATATATAATGTTTTATAAAAATTTCTATTTTAAATTTAGTCTTATCTTTATTCTCTTATAATTGTTAATTTGATCATTGAATGTTAATAGACTTATTAAACAATCTGAAATTATTATATATATGCTCAATCTTAGAATTTACGAAATTTTTAAAATTATTTTATCGTTGAAATGAAAATTTAATTATATATTAATGCAAATTTTAATATTATTAGAAGATAAATAAAAGTAAAAAAAATTACTCAATTATTTAATTATTTTCTATCCTTATAAATATATACAATAATAAATAAATATTAATAATGTATAATGTTTATTTTAATTATAATATTTATTGTTTTGAACAAAAATATTTTTCTTTGAACTCAACAAAATATCTGTAAATAGATAAAAATAAATATTATATCAAATTAATCAATTATGAAATAAATTAAATTTTAATAAAAAATAATACATCTATAATATTATTATATATTATAATATTAATGTAAAATTTATTTCATAAATTATAAAAGTTTATTATATATAGTATCAAATGTAAAGTTAATCAAATTATCATTTATAAAAATTAAAAATAAAAGTTATTTCCGAGACATATTTTATTTATATATATTTTCTTATGATTTCAAATTATTAAAAAAATTATTTTTATGAATATATATATAAATTATAAATTATAAAATGCAAAATTGTACTCATATATAAAACTAATATAATTTGAAAATTTAAATAAATTCTATGATTTATGATAATATATGTATCTATAAAAGATTTAGCTTAGTAAAATATCATAGCAATTACTATAGTAAAAAACTGAAAAATTAATTAAAAATCTTTTTGTTTAAAAAAATATAAAATATATTTTATAAATATAAACTATTGATAATCAAAAATTTAGAAGATGCAAATTATTTATAATAAAAATGTACATAAAAAATGATATGAAATTAGAAATTAAATGTCCTATATTTTTAATATAAAGTTAATATGAAAAGTAATTACTAAAATGTAAATTACATAAAAAAAATTTAAAGATAAAAAATATTATACAAAAATTATTAAAATAATATACAAAAAAGTTTATTTTTTTTTTTTTTTTTTTTTTACTATAGAAAATTAAAAATATTACATAGTGATAAATGTATCGAAACGATAGATATTTTTATTATTACATTATACATTAATTTTATTATACATTAATCAAATAATTTTGATAAAATTTTTATTATTGAAATAATTCTTAATAAATAAATCTTTAAATAAATTTTAATCTTAAGATGCAATCTATCGTTTCAATAATTTGTTTAACTAAATAAAATTGATAATATCATTGTAGTCTTATTTTGCTATATAATTTTAAAATATATATCATTTATGATATTGTATTATATTTTTTTATAAAATATATATACATTATACATATATACATATATATATATATATATATATATATATATAAATTAAATTTTATTAATAAATATAATTGTAAATAATGCATTATGAAAGTTTTATTTTTATATATCACTAATCTTTTAATGATAATTCCATGTAAATCAAAATCATAATAAATATTTTATGAAATATGTATAAATAATATTGAATATGTAGTATGTAATTAAAATTATATTTATAATTATATTTTAATCCAGCAACAATTATTTTAAGATGATTCATTAAAAAATTAGAAGTACGCAATGCATTATTATATCCTTCAATTATACAATAATTATACTTATAAATATAAAACAAAATAAAATAAATTATTATATATAACCAATGATTTTCAAAATAATCTTAATATAAGAATATATGAGGAATTAGACAAACATATGTTTTACTTAACCTTATTTTAAAATTTCAACAATTTTTATATTGTATTAATTTTTCTTAATAGAGAAATAATTAGATTTAAATATTATTAATCTTATTTAATTGAAAAATAGAAGATAAATAATTTAATTATTTTATATCATGCAATTATATTAAATAGATAATTATTACATATTTTTTCATAACTAGAAAATATAAAGATGCGAAATACTAATGTCAAAGATTTAATCAAAGACTTTAGCATGTTAAAAAAATATATATATATAATATATCTAATAATTTACTAAATTTTCATAAAATTAATAAAATTAAGTTGTATATAATATCAAACATAATTTGAATATATTTTACAATAAGATAAATTTATCTGAATTTTAAATTATTATTAAAAATTTCATTTTATACTTTTGAATTTACACATTTACATACAATTATATGATTAGATATAGCTTGCAAATCATTTTAATAAAATATATTCACTGTGTAACAAGAAATATTCATGAAAATAATACATGCGCAATTTTTTTTAGATTTATCATTATACATTAACTTGATTTTTTTGCAATACAACACAAAAAAAAATATTTACCTCTATTTTAATATTAATAATCCATTTTAAAAACAAAATAAAAATCTAATTTTATACATAAAAAAAAATACGTGAATTTATAATTTTATGCAAAATTATAAAAATTTTTTCAATGATTTAATATTAAAACAGATAAATTTAATGCTAATAATTTCACTAGATATTTTTATTCGTTTATTAATTGTTTTACTATTTTGAATTATAGAAAACAGTAATAAATTAATGTATAAATAAGTACAAATATTAAATTTTTGAAAATTTTTCAATATTTAGGTTATGAATACCAAATGGGAAACTATTAATTACCAACATACGTACATCACTTCAATAAAGAACAGTAATAATGATAATAAAATAAACAATTGCTTGATTTTTGATAGAAAATTGCTATTAATTTATGCACAATTTTTCTTATTTTAAAGCACACATTATGTACACAGATTTTAATATAATTAATATAAAAAGTAAAATTATATGATATAACTATAATCTTCAATCTAGATAATCAATATTTTTTTAATAATTATATTTATTGTTATATTTGTAAATTTTTTTACATAATTAAAATTGAATTAGTTATATTACTATATATATATTTATATATGTGTATATATATATACACACATACATACATATATAAAAATTCATTATACATTGTACATGCAAATAATATGGTTATATTACATTTCTTATATTGGTAGTACAAATTTCATCTAATTTCAACTTATTCTTCGAATATTACAAATTTGATTAAACAAATATAATATAATTTTTGTTAGCAAAAATATAATTAAAATTAATAAAATTGTAGTATATTAGAAAATATTACAATAATTTATTTAAAAATTTTATAAATTTGTACTCTCAAACATGTATATATAATAATGAATTACATATAAATAATTGTTTTATATTTCAATAATTGTTTTCAATATTTATAAAATATTTATAAATATATTATAAATTATTTATAAATTATTATATTATATTATTTATTAAAACATTAAAATTTTTTATAATAATTATTAATAAAAAAATATTTTTCATTATGTTCCTATTTTTTATTTCATAATATTTTTTATTTGGTCAAAATTATATATAATCTTTATATATAATTTTATTTGATAAAATAATAAAAAAAGACATAAAATATATATATTATTAAATTTTTAGAGAAAAATTTAGAAAACGATAAAATTAAAATATAAAGGAAAACGGCTACTTGAAGTTGACTGCGAATAGTTGGTACTCGATTTAAGCGCCGTTTTGATAGTAGTGGGGATAGAAGGGAGGTGTGGTAACGGTTAGGAGTCTCATCCAACCACGAGAGGAGCTAGTAGCGTTTGCCTGGCAGTATGAGGCGGCGTGGGGCTAGGGACGATGCATGGGCTGCGACTAGGAGGCACTTGGGAGGTAGGGAGGGCATGCGAGCGGAGCACAGTTCAGTAGTCGCCATTGCAAGTCTCCCCGTGTTCTCGTATTCGTGACACTCGGACGCGTGGAGCCGATTTTCCGCTAACCTAATCTCCCTGCGAGGGCCCTAAGTGTGCCCCCCCGATGCAGAGATATTGCACCGAGCTCACCGAAAGATTGTTGAAATCTCTTGATAAGGAATACAATGTAAGTAGCGGAATGAATCCGCGATGCGCCGTCCGTCCGTTCACGCAAACGGCTATCGGGCCACTCTCGATCCCCCGTGCGCCGTGTGCCTGTACCAGTGGCGTGCGCGAGAGTCACTAAGAATGTAGTGTAGCGGCGGCTCCGCGTGTGAGTGAGTAATATGTTTCCTGTGTATACGTTAGCTGCCAGTCGACAAATCTTCTTTTTGCACGAGTGTGTGCACGTCGAACGTAAACGCGTTGTCGACAACCTGGAGTATAACCTCAATATTTACAGTAAAATGTTCAAAATCAAAGAAATCTCTTAAAAACATTTTCGTTCTCTTTTTTTCTAGTTGTTTTCGCAGTTTAGACTCTATTACACTCAATTGGAGTACATGCAGTAACTCGCATATTATTCTCATACTTTCATGAATTTCAAATATTTGTCGTTTTTAAACATTATTAAAAAAGATAATTGCATCCACAAATTGAGATTTTAAGTTTCAAATATCTCTCATTTTTGGCCCGATTGCCGTTTCATCGCTTGAATTGAATTTTTCGATAAATGTTTTTTATCAGCATGAATCGAATATATTATTTATTAGAGATTAAAGAAATGTATGTAGACACGTGTTGATTATTTGTATCTTATATTTGTTTTATATTTCATATAAAATGTATTAATATTGATCATATTATTTATCTTTTGCACTTAAGCAATTTAATCATTATGTTTAAAGTATAATTTAATTTTTCACTGTAAAATTAATATTAATAAAAAAAAATATATAATCTTTGTTATGTTTTTAATAATATTGTCATTAAGTTGTAAATATCAAAAATATAATATTATTAAGATAATAATTAACGTAAAAGAGAATGATGTAAAATGTTACTAATTTATCACAATTTCAAAACTTTCTGTATATTAATAAAGTATCATATTAAAGTATTTTAAGTATTAAGTCTTTTTTAATTGTTTAATATAATAAAATTTATAATTAATTTTAATAAATTAAATTTATAATAAATTTATTAATATTAATTTATGTAACAATATAATTTGTAAAATAATGCATGCAAATGTTTTATTAAATATTAATAAATTCAGTTTATTTATTTTTATTTTTAATATTTTAATAAATAATTAAAATTAATCAAATAAGATTAAAAAGTTACATTGATTTATTTTTATATATTTTATACAGGGCAATGAAAATTTATTAATATTCTATGTACAATATATAATAATAATTTATAGAATTTTTTAATATATTGTTAATATTATGATAAATAATTTTTTATAAATGAATTGTAATAATTTAATATAAATTATATTAATATAAAAATATAATTATGAAAATTTATAGGTCATCGACATGGGTGCTGTTGTGGATGTCGTTACGGCCCTGGAAAAGACGGCGATCACTAAAGAAGTGCTTGAGGTGAAGATTCTATAAATATAATTTATTAAACATGTTTTTTCAAAAGTTATATTATATCTATTATAGGTGGATAAAATTGCATTTCAATTATCTTATATTATTTAATTTTCTTATATTAATTAATCTAATTATTATATAATAATTATAAATTGTAATATTTAATTATAACAGGTTACAAGACTTGGAAAATATATTAATGAACTTCGACGTAAAACAAGCAATGATGCTTTGGCAAAACGAGCAAAGGATTTGGTGCGTCGATGGCGTGATATGGTTTTACCTTCTGCTCATTCTACTCCACAACCTACACCAGCAGATACAGCACCACCTGCTCTTAATGGAGCAAAACCACATAGTCCTGCATTAAGATGTTTTAAACCACAAAGTCCAGCATTAAGAGGTCTGATACCACCTCAGAGTCCATTATTAAGGGATAGTACTCCACTTAGAGTAAGTCATTAAATTTTTTTTTAATTTGTATGATATGTAATTTGTTAAATATTTAAATTATATAAATATGTGCATAAAAATATATTTTTTAAATTTATATGATAAAGTAGTTTACAAAATATATAAAATAATTGTACAATTTAATTATTCAAATGGGAAATATTATTGTTTTTATTCAAATTATAATGCATAATAATGTTTGATATCAAATTAATAGGATAATAATAATATATTTAATAAATATTATTATATTGTTTAATTACAGGTACTTAGTCCAGTTCTATCTGTGCATAGTGATCATTCACATTCTCCTAATGCATCATCAAATAAACAGTCAATTACAGTAACCAGCAATCACAGAACAAGTTCTGATGTGCCACCTATGCTTGGTTCTTCAAGCCAACATCATTCGACAGAAGCAGTGCCACGAACTCACAGTTCAAACAAACGTCTCCGAAAAGATGATCTTAAGGACCAACATAATTATCAACACCATGATTCAGACTCAATCACCGAAAGTGAACCCTTTGTTAAAAAACAACGTCTAAATGGCGAAAATATAAGTGGTAATTTAAATATGCAAGTGCCTAGCCCCATATTTAAAGAAAGAATCTCTGATCAGTTTACGGAGTCTTCCACAGATCCTGATAATTCAGGGCCAAAGAAACGTGGTAGAAAAAAAGGCAGTAAATCTATAAAGAAACAACCAATTTTAGAAGATCGTGTAAAAGAAAAACTAGCTAGTATCTCAAGGAATCCTAAATTAAAAACAACTCAAGAATTGCTGGCTGATCTACGGGCACGCGGCACCAATTCTAGCATTAATTCAAGTGCTCTACCTAGTCAAAGTGTAGAATCATCCAGCATGGAAGAAGTTCTGAGAAGTAGCAACGAACAAGTATCAAAGTTCCTTCGTTGTCCTCAGAATAATTTGTCCCATAGAAATACAGTTTCTGAAGTCTCAGCAGAAAGTCGGTTAAAACCAACAGAAAACTGTCATGATGTACCATCTAAGTGTGACGAATCAGGTGTAGTGTTCAAAGAAAAATCAGTTACAAATGTTCAAAAAAATCAACCAGAACAGTGTCAAGATCTCACAGTTGAAGAAATATTGGCTAAGTTACCACCTATAGATCCAAATTCAATAGATTGGAGTGAGTGTGAAATTGAATCAACTGAAGATCAAAATAGTTCTGAATATCCACCTAGACAAGTTACTGCAGAGGACATAGAAAGGTTACATACACAGTGTGTAGAAGGACTGAATGGAAATTTCCAACCAAAACTATCATCTTTAACTTCGTCTTTAAATGAGAAATCAGATGTAAAAGAAGATGTGACAGATATCAATGGTGTAAACAATGTGTATAGCCAACCTGATGAAGAGTTTCGAGAATGGCATCAGATGCTAGCAAGGCCCAGTTACAATGGCCAGATCCTCCACATATTGCCTTATGTTATTATTGATTAGTAATTTTATTATCTTATTCTACTATTATCCTGAAACTTGTGAAGAATCCCTGCAAATATTAAAGAGATTGATCAATGATCAGTCTATTAAATCGATTTCTATTGCAATTTATGATTGCTCTTTATTTCTACAAGTGCTCATGTTACTATCACCCTTATTATCATTATTGATTTCCCCATTATTATTCAAATTGTCATTTTGAAAATGTAAAACAATCACATATATATATATATATACGTAACTGGCAATCATTTTTAACATAACTATTATTCTCAATGAAATTCATAATAATCATTAACTTCACTTACATAAAGATTCATTTACTATTATTATCAATGTTATCAGTGTCGTTATCTTCATCATCATCCTTATCGTTATCATCTTCATAAAAAAATTAAATCGTAAAATTATCATTATTATTATTGTTATTGTTATCATTATTATCATTATTATTATCATCATCATCATCATCATCATCATCATCATCATCATCATCATCATCATCATCATTATTGATGTTCTATGAAAGCATTTCTTACATAGACCAGAAATATAAAAAAGATGTTTAAAAAATCAAAAAACATAATGTGGGATCTCTGATGTAACATTTAGCTTCAATGCCTGTGACAATGTATTTGAGTCCAAAAGGTACTTTTTGAATGCTTCTCTTTTATCACAAAACTAATCTATTACTATCATCACCATTATTATTAGCATTATCATCGCTTAAATAATATATTAAACAAATACTAGCAAAAATCAGTTTTAGATTATGAAAGAAACAATATTAGTATGTTATTAAATAGTTTTAAATGAAAGCACTTAAAATTTGCAAATAAGTTTTTTTAAACTTATTATGATTAAATTTTTTATGGATGTTCCAATTAAGAATGATATAAATGAAAAAATTTTTCTTTGATAAAAACTTGTATAGGTCTTTGTGTATCAAACAATATAATATAATTGATTACTATTTATAAATTATATGAATAATTTTGTTTATTTATTAAGAAAAGAGAGGCACATAATTTAAATCAAATAGTGCACTTTGGCCTATGCATAAAAAAAATTATTTTCGGAAAAATATCTATATATGATATGAAGTATTAAAATATATAAAAAATTAAAGATAGTTACCTTATTTACTGTAAAATAATATTTGATTTATTGAACTAAATATTATTTGACAAAAATTTTGAAGAGTAATATTAGACAAAAAGTATAAGGAATGATTATGGCAAGATACATACCATGCAAAAAATAACGCTATAATATTTCAAATGCTTTTTGACATAATATTTTGTTTATGAATTTAAAGTATTTATTAAAATGTACAGATATTGTCACTTAAATGTAATATGAAATATAATCTTTTGCGCGTGGTAAAAGTAGTCGAACCGAATATAACGGGGCCTTAATTAAAATTTAAAAATAAAAAAGATATTTGTCTAATAAGGTATTATGTTGCATATATACTTCTAGCAAGGGTAATACAACTCACAAGTACGTTGTAAATTTTTCTATCTCAATTTTATTTCATACATTATGAATATAGTAAAATGAAAGAGAATAAACATTCTATTAAAAAAAGAAAAACATTCTGTTTTAAAAAAATTAGAATAAAAGTACACAAATATATACAATTATATTGCCGGAAAAAGACACTTTACGTGCAATGTCCAATGTTCCAGTGCAATGCAACAAATATTTCAAAACTATGTAATTCTTTTAGAAAAAAAAAAAAAAAAAAAAAAAAAAAAAAAAAAAAAAAACGAAAAAAAAGATTTAATTATTTGAAAATGTAAATATTTCATTAAAAATCGAAACACTGGAACTAAAACATATTAACATTTTCTGTAATAACTAAATAATACTATGTGTTATGTAAAAAAGAAAGAGGAAAATAGCAGAATTGTACATACTATGCAACTATACCGTGTATAATGAAAGCTTTGTGAAACATGAATTAGAAAAAAAATGTCTGATTTTATATATGTTCATTTTTTGATAATAACAGTTATCTTTTGTTTAATTTCTCTTATAATGAATTGTTTTTCAAATAGTTAAATTTCTTATGCTAAACATTTTCTAAGAAATCATTAACAGAAAAACGAAAAAGAAATGAAAAGATCACATACCGAAATTTTTTTTTAATTAAATATTACAATAGCAATGATTAAAAATAGTGAGATATTTCCAAAATTATATATATATATAAATTTTTATAGTTTCCCGTGTTCCCATTTATATTAATTAAAATACCTTGCTTTACAACTATATGATAAATATTTTATTTATACAGACATTTGTATACCTTTGTATTTAAGATTAAAGATACAAGTTAATATAATTAAATATCATAATACACATAATTTCGAGAGTGTTTAAGCAATTATTTTTAATAATTTTAAACTTATTTAATTTTTGATTATACTAATTTTTTATTTAGTTACCATAATTAGTTTGAGAAATTTTTGTTCTCGCTATTTAGTACAAGTTAATTTTTTCAAACAATGTGTAAATGTCATTTATGAAGAACGATGAGACTCAACTACTTTTCTTTGATAAATTTTAAAACAAATCTTAATGTGCATCGATTTACATGTTTTATTGTCGTTACAATAGAATATACGATAAATTACAATTAATCATTACGATTAATAACAATTAAAACATCAATAACAATTTATTTTTCAAGTTAAAAAAGAAATTCCATTTTGAAGAATAGACAGAATTGAATCGATATATATAAAATTTTCAAATAAACAATTATAAAAGAAATTTTATAATTCTATTGAAACAAAAAGCGCTTTTTTTCATCATAGTACTTGTATTAAGTATATTGATAGCTGCATCGTACGTTTCATTTACCAAAAAAAATTAACATACAAACAATCGTGCGATTCATTGTCGGTATATTTTATACGAAAAGCGCTTATCTTCGAAATAAAGTCCCGTGCCTTTTGTATCTTTGCAATTCTCTATCATAATACATGATGATTGTTGAAAAAATAATAATGGTAAAATATTATGAAATGACCAAATATAAAATGGAACGATTCCGATGTAGTAAAAAAATATTATCGAGCAACATGATTTTTTAGGATTTTTATTTTATTCAATTATTATCTGTTCAAATTATTGTTAAATAACTGAGTTCGACAATTTTTATTCAAATTCAATCAGTAATGCTATTTTAGAGAATTCGTTAATAAATCAAATTTCAAAATTATTAATATATATCAATGATTATTCCTTTTATTATTTTCAATTTGTGATTGAATTTCTGTATAATAATATTGAATAATTAATATTGGATAATTTTTAGTAAAGATATTTAACATAAAGTATTACACTTTTTATAATATACAATATCTTATATTTTATATTACAATTATTATTATACTTTTAAGTAATTTCTATTTATTATTTGTGATAATTTGATTTATTTATTTTAAATGATTTTCTTTAAAAATTCGCAAATTAACATTTAATGGTCAGTTATTGTAATCAAATGATAAGGATAGTAAGAGATAATGGATGGAAGTAATTAAATTAAATAATAATGATGTAGTATAATTGTTTATTAATTTGAAAGCTTATCAATTTCGATTCATCTAAAATAAATAAAAATTTACAAAGACTAATGGTAAATTTTTATTATGATAATTATTATAAATTAACGCTCTTATTATTGATTAAAATATGTTATAAATTATATTAATATGTACCTACCAAATACTATGCATACTTTGAATAATATAATAATATATAATTTAATTATGTAATATTGTTATATTAAACACATAATATGACTACAGATAAAGTTTTATTTAAAATCTTTTCTTTTTTAACATTGAATAAAGATTTCCTAAAAATGGATCGTTCCCAAAAATAATATCACTAAATATATTAAAAAATAATATACATAATGAGATTATTTTATGTTTAGCACTATATAAAATGAATGATTTTGAAATCATTTTCTTCATAACATAACTTGAGATAGACGTAAGCGCATAAGAGGGCGGTATTGTAATAGCGACTGCGCAATCAATCGAAATAGCATGATACAATATACATGTATAGTATAGAAGTGGGGATATTTCTTCTAGTATCTCTCTCGTTTCATTCGTTAGTATGGTTTTTAGTAAGTTCGAATTTATACAAGATTTATGATGTTTAATCGCGCTTAAATTGTGAATGATAATAACGAAATATGCAATTTAGTTTATTTTGCTTTCTCGTAAAAAAGTTCGTACATGTTCGTATGTGAATGCGCCTCAATTTTATATTTTTCTATATTTTGTCGTACTGTTATCAATATGTGTCACTGAATTTTTTTCAATCACAAATTTACATATCTCGGCAATTAGATGAAAAATGTCGAAATCCGGTGACAAACAAAGTTACGCGCAGACATATAAACTCGTTGTTGTTGGTGCGGGTGGTGTCGGAAAATCTGCGATCACAATACAATTCATTCAAGTAAGTACTTTTTATGGCCAATAGGTGCAAGCACACGTACATACGTGGGTGTAGATAAACGTATATATATTTAGACATATATATCTATGTTTGTATACATACATTATTATATATTATTATATATACGTATATATTTTATATGATATATATTAACATATATAACTTATTTATATATTTACTAAATTTATCATTTTTATGCATCCTATGTTATTTGTGATTCAAATAAGAAATATGAATGATATATTTATCTAATATATTATGTTATAATATTGATATAATCGAAGTAAAAAAACTTTGGTATATTTTCATAATAATGATTTTTTAAATTACTTTTGCATTAAATATTAAAAAAAGTTTGTTTTTATCATTAATTATGTTATATACAATTATGGATAGGATTGTAATCATAAAATTATGTCATTATATTTAATATGTATAAAAAAAAATGCAATTTCATCTTAATGTGTATATTTTATGTATTATATGTATGTATATATATATATAAAATATAATTTTCTTTTATTATATTTGTATTTTTTTTTTCATGAAAATTTTAAAGAATAATATCAAAGTTAATAATTATAATTATATTTAATATAAATTTAAAATATTTTTATATTTTTTATTGCTATTTGTAATGATTGTATTGTTTAGCTTTGGATTAATTTTATCAATATCTTTCAGAGTTATTTTGTAACTGATTATGATCCAACAATTGAAGATTCTTATACCAAACAATGTGTTATTGATGATATTCCTGCAAAACTTGATAGTAAGTAAATTAATAAAAATATAATATTATTAAATGCATTAATTATTATTTCAATTAATATTAATTATTTGTAATATTAATTAATTGTATTTTATATATTTATACAATTTTTATAACTTATTTTATGTTAATTTTCATGCAGTTCCATAATGAATCATGGGTTTGTTATTGTAAGACTATAATTCCTTATTTATTCAATTTTATAGTGAATATTTATTTATGAAAAAATTAGAATGGTCAATTTATAAACATTTAAAAAATAACAATATATACATTCATATATTGTTTTTAATACTAATATAAAATTTATAATGTTTTTAATATTAAAAATAATATATAATTATAATATATAATTTTAGTATTAGATACAGCAGGTCAAGAAGAATTTAGTGCAATGCGAGAACAATATATGAGAAGTGGTGAAGGTTTCCTTCTTGTGTTTTCAATAACTGATCTTTCATCTTTTGATGAAATATTAAAATTTCACAAGCAGATACTTAGAGTAAAGGATCGAGAAGAGTTTCCTATGCTTATGGTTGGTAACAAAGCTGATTTGGATTATCATAGAGTTGTAAGTAAATAAAATAAAAAGAAACTAATGAGATGATAATATACTTTAAAATAAAGAATATGAAATTAATATCTTAATGTTAACTATTTTAGATTGAAGTTGAAGAAGCACAAAACAGAGCTCGCCGATTAAAAATTCCTTACATTGAATGTAGTGCAAAATTAAGGATGAATGTTGACCAAGCTTTTCACGAATTAGTGAGAATTGTCAGAAAATTTCAATTGTCTGAAAGACCACCATTAGAACTAAATTATAAGAAAAATAAAAAGAAATGTTGTATGCTATAATACCTAATGTGTTCTTAAATAACAAATTTTTGTATCAATAAAATGGTACAAAAGTTACAAAATAATTGAATTACAAACAAAATTGTGAAATAAATAGAATCTTCATTATTACTAAAAATAATTAAATTAAAATTTACAATTATAAATAAGAGATTTTTGAAATACTTTTAATAATAATATTTATATAGAGTATTTTGGAATGAATATTTTAAATATATAATATCAATCTCATGAATATCATAAATATTTTGTACTCAGTTAAAACCAAATTAATATAATAGCATTTATGGAATATGTAATACGAATTTATAAATCATATAATTTTAACTATATAAATAGTAAAAATAACTGACATATTTTATTAAAAATACATCGGTAACAATGTAAGTTTTATATTAAATATATTAATATATTTAATATTATCTTGGAACACATATATCCCTATATATTGAATTTATATATCAACAAATTACAATATTATTTAAAATATTTATTTGTAAATAATGCATGTATATATTTTCATTTAAAACAATATAATAAGTTAATGTTAACAAAGAGTGAGACCAATAACAAAATAAATTTAATGTGAAAATTTTGAATAATTTGTTTAAATTAACATAATTTTATAAGTATTATATTATATTCAACATTAGCATTAAAATTATAACTAAAACTTGGAAAATATGGAAATTTATGACATTTTAATGCATTCATAGAATTGTTTGAAAAATTATTTAAATATGTTTATTTATGCACAAGTATTGTATTTATTTTATTTTAGTGTGATTTTTCTAGTATTATATAAAAAATTGTTTTTAAAATGAAAATTAATTTATTATAAAAAAATTTTGTGCTTATACTTGTGAATGATTATCATGTATTGATAAATATTGAGTAAAATTAATATATCCAATAAATGAATTTTTTTATATTAAATAAATGTGCATTAAAAATACTATTGAATATTAAATATTAAAATAATATATTATAATAAATTTAAGAAAACTAATCATAACAATTGCAAGATTAATATAAAATATAAAGTTATATTTATTTTTATTAATAATCATTTGCAAATTTTTACAGACTGATATATAGATTTAATGTGTATTTGTTAATGCCTTCTAATAAATTAAATAATATAAAAATAAATTAAAATAATATAGAAATTATTCATTTTTACAATAAAATTATAATTAAAACATATTGTTACAAACAATGTATTTCTAATTTATTTAATATATAATAATTAAATATAATAAATAATAAATTTAATTACATTTATTTCATTCTAATTATATAAATAATAATATATATAATTTATGTAATTAAATTTATATATTATAATTATATTTTATATAAAATATACAAATAAACTATAAGTGATTTATTTTTATATTTCTTCGTATTTCTCACATAAATTTTTGAAAATAATCTTTTGAATTTATATATTATACAACAATATAACATGTAACAATGATAATAAAATACATGCATAAAAAACTTTTATTGTTCAAATAAATTTTTTAAAGTATTTTCTACTCTAATCTTTTATTTGTAATATTATTTTATAAATAATTTGTATATAAAAAATATATATGTTATCAAAATATATATTATTATCAAAATTAAATAATTAAATATATATTAAAATATGTAACGATTGTAATTTTATTATTTAATTAGGTTATATTTCATGTTTGTATAATATAATAGATTTATCAAAATGATTAAATTAAATAATTTAATAAAATAATAACGATCGATTTTGTACAACGGAACATTCACCCTAATTTAGTCAGTAAGCAACTGGCACACAAGGTGGTCAAACGGGATTCCCATGCTGGCTATTCTTAACCAGACCTGGCTAATATTGAATCTACTCAATTACTTCCAGCTATACCTATTACCATTAGCAATAAATATGTATAACTGTTATTATGAACTTTTAATTCCTTTTTATTTTGCATTATATACTGAATGAATAATGCGAAGTTTTGAAATTATTTATTTTTATTTCGTCTCATTAAATCGTTATGCATAGAACTTTCATTTTAAAGAAAACAAACAAAAACAAATTTTATATTTAGATGTTTACAATTTTATATATCAGTACATAAATACGACAATGGAACGATATAGAAAAATATATAAGTAAATATATATACGTATAAATAATAGATAAATAGATTAAAAAAAAATTACAATTAATTATAATAATTATGAAAATAATTTTTTTGTCATAAGAAAACTTAATTACGTACATATTTATATATATAATACCTTTGACAAAGAAATTAGCTAAAATAAATTGTTTATTGTTTACAAAATCAGTTACAAAATATTGTTATTACAAAATAAAATAATATTCAAAAATAGGAAACAGTTAAGTAAAGAAATTTTAACTAGGGTTGCATTTTTATTTACTCGAAGAATGGAAGAAGCGTACGAAGAAAGACGAGTTGGGATGAAATAAGACCACGAGAAAGAAGAATGCCCAGGTTAAAAATAGCCGCGCGCATTTTCAAATAAAAAGTGATAAGTAACCTGCAGGATAACGATTAAGGAGGAAGGTAAAAAAGAGAGTTGAGAAAAAAAAGGATACCGACGGAGCAGAAAGAAGATCTGTAAAACAGAATGAAGATAAAGAAAGAAGATGTACAAAAGCAACCACATCTACACAGGGAGAAAAGAAAGATTATCTTGACCCATTGGAATAATATATTGAGTATATGGTGGTCAAGCTTGATTCGATGTTGGTTTGAATAAAGGCAAGAACCGGTGGTGTGTACAGGACTTGGAAGGAGGAATCTCCCACCCTATAGCTTTTACCCGTGTACATATTTCACATGGTTTACTATACAATCAAGTGCACCTAGCATCAAGCCATTAAGTGAACTTACCTGCTCTATCTTCTAGAGACTGCAGTATGTTCAAGATATAAATTTGATTAAAATTTCGTACGTAATCGATGAATATTTTCAATAATTTAATAAAGGTATCGAAATAAGTTTGAAAATTTTGTGATCGTATTCAGAATTGCGTAAATGCGTATGTTATGTGTATGTATATATATACATATCTATATGTTACAGTAGTAAGCAAATTATGATGTAATAGAAACGCGGCCGATTCCTATGAAAATATCTGTTTTACAGACTTTTCCTAAATATGCATATAAATAAATATATATATTTATATAAGCAAAATCTATTTGTTTCTAACTATTTATCTAAACTAACTATTTATCTAACTATTTATTTTTATTTTTAGATATCATTTAATTTTTCATTATTTTGATTAAAACAATTCGAGTAAAGCTAAACAAGATAGTAAATACGTCATCACATATGAGGAAAACATACATCCATTCACTATCGTCCGCTTTCCTCTTAGTATTACATAAACATATATGTATATAAATTTATAAATGTTATTTTCACATATATTTTAAATAATATTATACATATCATCATTTTTTTTTTTATTTTTTTATTAAGTAAATATTTGAAAGAAGCAATCATAAATATAATCGATAATCGATAAATATTTATCTTGATTGACATAATCGATTATAGATCATCCTTTTGTTATATCGATTGAAAATTCAAATCGAATGGAATTTATTAAAACTCGTCACATCAGATGTTCAATAGATGATTTTACATAGAACACTGCGATTTATTAGCCTGATCCTTGAAGATTGTTTCACGAATGAAGATGTTTTGATTTATATTATACCACGATATGCTAACCATTTTGGTTTGGTTAAAGCCGAGGGCAACCTTCGGGTGTCCCTCCGCCACTAGCTTGAGCTGGACTGAAAGAAAAGGAAGAGGGAAAGGAACGAGTTCTTCAGTGCCTGTGCACAGTCTAGTTCAAGACTCACGATGATAGTGAACGTCCCATGAAGATTCCTCCGGCCGGGTTGCCCTTCTCTGCCTAAACTAGAAACTAGTGTTACGGAGCGTCTAGTGGACCGACTACCGTTTGCATAGGTCGCGGAACTTCTACAGGTCAGTGCACGTTTATCATTCAGATGCGGCTATTATTCGGTTATTGTCTTCGCAAAATTATCACATTATTCCATGATTTTTAATACAAAGTATGAAAATTAATTAATTAATGAAATTATAAATTGCAATATTCAAGTTTATATGAAACAAATATTTTATGTTTTATATAATAAATATAAAAAATCCTGATTTTTAAATTTCGATACATTTACTGATTCTCGACAACATTTATATTTTAAATATTATCTTATAATACTTCGTAAAACTAAAATAATTCAATTTAAGATTTTATATTAATATCAATGTAAGTTTTTGATTTGAATATATTTTTATAATATTTTTGTAAATAAATTTTGATTTTTATTTTTTTATCAATTATATCAATATTATTTATTATGTTAAAATATAAATTTGTTATTATTTTTTAATTATTCTAAATCTTTATTTTTATTCAAATGTTATTTAATTAAATCTAGTGCGAGAAACTTGTCATTGAATTATGAGTATATGCTTCTTTTTATTATATAAATTATTATTATAATATAAATTTTATAATTGCATATAAAAATAATATTAATTGAGAAAAATTAATTAAAAATTAAAAAACTATTATTTAAAAAAACAATATTTAAATTATATATATAAAAATTTAGATTACAATTATATAGATAATATATATATAGATATATATAGATAATTGCTCATAAATATTTCAAATTAATTAAAATGCTAGAGTATTAACAAAATTTTCATATTTTTTATATCAAATAACATTTAATAATTTGTCATTTTTATTTTTATAATTTTTATTTTCTCAATAGAAGGAATTTTATTTTAAATTAAAATAATTTTTTTCATAAATAATAAATTTATAAGAAAAATTTAAATATATAATAAATTAATAAATTAATAAGAAAAATTTATATCTAAAATTATTATAATTATAATATTGTATAATGTTATATAATTAAATAATAATTTTTGTA